CACTGTACGGACCTTTGTTGGCAAGGTGATGTCTCTGATTTTTAAGATGCTGTCTAGGTTTGTCATTGCTTTTCTCCCAAGAAGTAGGCGTCTTTTAGTTTCGTGACTGCTGTCACCATCTGCAGTGATCATGGTGCCCAAGAAAGTAAAATCTCTCACTGCCTCCATTTCTTCCCCTTCTATTTACCAGGAGGTGATGGGACCAGTGGCCATGATCTTTGTTTTTTTGATGTTGAGCTTCAGACCATATTTTGCACTCTCCTCTTTCACCCTCATTAAAAGGTTCTTTAATTCCTCCTCACTTTCTGCCATCAATGTTGTGTCATCTGCATACCTGAGGTTGTTGATATTTCTTCCGGCGATCTTAATTCCGGCTTGGGATTCATCCAGCCCAGCCTTTCGCATGATGAATTCTGCATATAAGTTAAATAAGCAGGGAGACAATATACAGCCTTGTCGTACTCCTTTCCCAATTTTGAACCTACCAGTTGTTCCATATCCAGTTCTAACTGTAGTTTCATGTCCCACATAGAGATATTGACCTCAAAGTAGGGTTGTCATATGTCCAGAATTTCCCAGACATATCCGGAATACTGCAGTTGGAAGCAGTGTCCGGTTGGAAATCACTGGGGAAATTTGGATGTATGGCAACCCATGCTGACAGTATCGTTTTTGGTGTTTTTCCTCAACAACTTTGCCAGAAAAAGCTTAACAACCTTTCTGTTCAGACTTTCATTGTGTGAAAAATGGCAACCCTACTCCAGAGCCAATCTTGGGGGAGCATCAGGGGGAACCACATTGTGACCCTCTGTCTTTGTGCAGGGCTTCTGCTGACGGACTTCACTAGGTGAACCCCATCCTCTGTTTTTAGATGATGCATGTACAGTATGTCACTGTTTCCCAACGTTGGGTCTTCATCTGTTTTTGGATTACAACTCCCATCATCCCTAGCTAGCAAGACCAGTGGTCAGGGATGACGGGAATTGTGGTCCGAAAACAGTTGGAGACCCAGGGTTGGGAAACACTGATGTATGTAGTTCACCAGTAGCACTATAAATGGGGTGTTAGAGAGAAGGTACAATGTCTCTCCAAAAATGGCACTTGCTACCTGTGGCTTGTATAAATAGTTAAATTTAAATATATATATAGTTAAATTCATTTTTAATGAATTCATGTAATCAGTTAATTGACAAATCTTGCAGCCTCACTTCCCTTATTTAACTTTTTTTTCCAGGCAAAAATATCAGTGATTAAGATGGCTACCAGAATCAATTTTCTGTTCCAACACTTGCTAATTAAAATAAATGGTCAACAATTAAATAAATGGCAGCATGTTGCTCTTAAGTTTATTCGGAATAATAAAAAGCTAAGGCTCAAAGCAAAACTCTTACATGAGAGTAAACCGGGGGTGAAGGCGGGATTTCAAATTCCAAATGGAATGGCTTCCTCAGAGAGGTTCGCCTGATGCCTTTATTATATATTTTCAGGGGTCAGGTGAAAACATTCCTCTTCAACTAGGCCTTTGGCTGATTAATATTCTACAGCTTTTTAAATGTGTCTGTGGGAATGGGGTTATTGTTTTGTTTTTGTTCTATTTATTTGTATTTTTACCTTACATTTTCATCACGTTGTCTGCCCTGAGATCTTTGGATGAAGGGTGGTATATAAATTTAATTATATTACAATTAATTAATTAATTAATTAATTAATTGCAATAATAATTTTTTAAAAGTGCTCAACACAGAGATAGCTGTCAATGTTTCCCTTTTTTTAAAGGGAAATCCCCTTATTCCGAATAGGATTCCTCGCAAGAAAAGGGAAAAGTTGACAGCTATGCAGAGAACCTTTAGTTACATGACCGACCTGGACAACAGACCTGGTCCGCATGTTCATTTCCATTTTTAAAAAATTACTTCACCGCAACACCGTCATCCCCTTGGCTCTGTGCTATTCGTACCCAGCTTTGGCAAGCTCTGAAGATGCATTGTCCCATCTGCCTTGTCCTTTTAGCTGTAATCACGATTGCGACATTATTCGTCGTCATGGCTCTTCTTTACTGCTCTGCCTAAGCCATAGCCCTAGTTAGCAGCTGCCTCATAGATTTAGTCAGTGTTATCCTCTGGGGGGGAAATTCCTTCTAACTGCCTCCGCTCTTGTTTCTTCCTGTAGGCTGGATTGTGACACGAACTAGACGCCTACTTTCTCTTTGCCTTCTAGAGCCTTTTCTTATCCTTTCTCTTAGCATTTTCTCAGCCCACTTGTCTTTAACATTATACTCTGGGGAGTTCACACTTCGATTGGATATGAGAAACTGTAATGCCACCCCTGTTTCTCCATATTGTGCTGAGATATAGTCCCATTCTAATGGCTCAACGAGGCAGAATCTTGGCATTTACTATACATTTTGAATCAGGCCCAGAATGCTTCCAGCTTTTCTGCATTAGGCTAGAGACAGAGGGAAATATTTTAATTTGGAAATTGGGGTGAAAGAGTTTTTCTCCTTTCGTTACTTAGTTCCTCCGTGGCTTCCCCCTGATTTTACTTTCTAAAATTAATTACAGTGGTACCTCGGGTTAAGAACTTAATTCATTCCAGAAGTCTGTTCTTAACCTGAGGTACCACTTTAGCTAATGTGGCCTCTGCTGCCGCCACACGATTTCTGTTCTCATCCTGAAGCAAAGTTCTTTTTTTTAAAAAAAAATATTCAAAATTATAACAAGACATATTATCCAAAAACATATCATCCTTGTCCCCCCCATTTTTTCTCCCTCCCTCCCACACAAAACCCACCCCCCACCCCAACTTCCCTCAGTTCCAGTCTTTGGTTTCTCTAAGAATGCTGTTTTCTGCATGTTACAAAGTTGTATAGATCCTCAAACTATTTAGCTGATTATTATCAATAAAAGGTTTGTGAATGTTTATTCAAAACCTGCCAAGGAGTCCAGCTGAAGCAAAGTTCTTAACCTGAGGTACTATTTCTGGGTTAGCGGAGTCTGTAACCTGAAGTGTATGTAACCCGAGGTACCACTGTACAGGGTTGGAGCATGTGCAAGCTGCAAGCACTTCCTGCTCCTTCATTTTATTTGCATGTTCTCTGCCCCCCTCTTTCCGTACGAATCTGCAAGTGTATGTGGATAAAATGCTGCACGCGCACAAAAGGCGTGCCCATATATAATAATGATAATAATAATAAATTTTTATTTATACCCCGCCCTCCCCGGCCAAAGCTGGGCTCAGGGTGGCTAACACCAGTAAAATTACAATAAAAACATAATAGGGGGGGGAAGAAAAGAAAGGAAGAAACCCAATTTAAAATACGGGTTAAAATACAATTTAAAATGTAGCTTCATTTTAATAGTAGCCTATAGATCAAAACCATAAGGGGAGGGAAACATAAGGGTCAGACTGAATCCAAACCAAAGGCCAGGCGGAACAGCTCTGTCTTGCAGGCCCTGCGGAAAGGTGTCAAGTCCCGCAGGGCCCTAGTCCCTTGTGACAGAGCATTCCACCAAGTCGGGGCCAGTACTGAAAAGGCCCTGGCCCTAGTTGAGACCAATCTAACCACCTTGTGACTTGGGATCTCCAAAGTGTTGTCATTTGTGGACCTTAAGGTCCTCTGCGGAGTATACTAGGAGAGGCGGTCCTGTAGGTACGTGGGTCCTAGGCCGTATCTCATTTTGCGTGGCGATGATTTACTGAGGCATACTTGTGTTCTTGTGCATTGGCTTAACACTACAAAATAATATTGATACAACTGTAAATGCAACCCTATCAAATGTGCGTTTTGGTTGTGGATGCACAGAGGCTTTTTTGCAGTGCTTTTTGGGTGGGTGGGTGGGTGGGTGGGGCAGAGGATTAGCAGGACAAGGCACCCGATCCACTTCAGCACTCTAAAACCCTTATTTACAGGCCTAGGAATGGACACGAATGAATCCTATCTGCAGAAACCCTGTGCAAATACAACAGGGCTCTCTGCTCCCCTTGTCTCCCTGATCCCTTCCCCAAAACTGGCTTGGGTGTGTGTGTCAGGAGAACCCGTCCCCCCAGAATAGCACACAGGGGTACAATAGGGGCAATCATTTCAATGGGAATCATGGCACTGAATTCTCTCTTACACATAGAAAAGTGGTCTAGTATTGACTGTCATCTTAGCAGGAGCTGGCTGGCTTCTCTTGGAGAACCTTCTACAGTGGTACTTTGGGTTACAGACACTTCAGGTTACAGACTCCAGTAACCCAGAAATAGTACCTCGGGTTAAGAACTTTGCTTCAGGATGAGAACAGAAATCTTGCAGCGGCAGCGCAGCGGCAGCAGGAGGCCCCATTAGCTAAAGTGGTGCTTCAGGTTAAGAATGGACCTCTGGAATGAATTAAGTACTTAACCCAAGGTACCACTGTATATGTAATTAGAAGGCTCACTCTTATTTATGACCCCCCCCCCTGCATTTCAGCATTTCAGCAAACACAAATATGTGTGGTTGGTGTAAAGAGATAGAAGTTGGTGGGGTGGCGTTGCTCAGCACTGAGTGCTGCTGCCTGCTACCAACATGGGGAGGCAATGGGGAGCTTAGTGTCATGTCTCTACCTACCCCACACCTGATGTCACAAATGATGCCAGACATGAGGCAGGTGGGTGTGGTTTGGGGGAAACTGCTTGGCAGGCCAAATTTGGGGCAGAGTTTCCCCATTTCCGTTTGAAAAGGTAGAGCGAGTGTTATCCTTCAATGTTTGGAATGTCTCTGCTCCTCTCTGTGGGAATTTACCAATAACAAACACTTCCTCTTTGCACAAGTCTCAAAATCATAGAAAGACAGTAAGTTATATAAATTTATGGATCTGCTTTGTACTGAAAGATGGACATCTAAAATTGAGAAGAATGAGCCTCATCCTTCACACTGTGCGATAAAATAGCTCATGTTCCCCATTTCTAGCGTCCTAGGTTTATTTTGAACTATCCCCTCCACAAATTAATAGATGATTCTTATTTCTTCCCACATGCAGGTTTCTTTTCCTCGTTGAGCAGCGCAAAGCTTGAAAAACCATGCCTGAACAAAGCAATGATTACAGGGTGGTGGTGTTTGGAGCAGGAGGAGTTGGCAAGAGTTCCTTGGTCCTGAGATTTGTTAAAGGCACCTTCAGAGACAGTTACATCCCTACAATTGAAGACACCTACCGGCAGGTGATCAGCTGCGATAAGAGCATATGCACTTTGCAGATCACTGACACAACGGGGAGCCATCAGTTTCCTGCCATGCAGCGTTTGTCTATTTCCAAAGGACACGCTTTCATTTTGGTCTACTCAGTCACCAGCCGGCAGTCCTTGGAGGAACTCAAGCCTATCTACGAACAGATCTGCCAAATCAAAGGGGATATAGACAGCATCCCAATCATGCTGGTGGGGAACAAGAACGACGAGGACCACAACCGAGAGGTACAGACCAACGATGGAGAAGCCCTGGCCAAAAAGTGGAAGTGTGCCTTCATGGAGACCTCTGCCAAGATGAACCACAATGTGAAGGAGTTGTTCCAGGAGCTGCTGAACTTGGAGAAACGCAGGACTGTGAGCTTACAGATTGACGGCAAAAAAAGCAAGCAACAGAAAAGGAAAGAGAAGCTGAAAGGCAAATGTGTCATTATGTGAAAATAGCATTATCCCGGAGCTGCCATCTAGACTCCTTCTTCTGACTGTACCATGTTTCAGACCTGTACACAATGGAAAACAAACAAACATGTGAGACTGTTTTATTAATAGCTGTTTTGAAAATACCCCAGAAGTAAACAGTTGTGTGGAGTGAAAGCGCTACCAACCTCTCAACCCTTTTATAAATTAGACATTGAACAGCAGCGGCAGCAAAGCAGTTACCAGAAGAAGAGCGATATCTCTTTTCGAGAGAATAGAAAATGAAATATCCACAACTAAGTACTCCCGCCGGTATCGTTGCCACTATGTAAAGATGAGGAGTTGTTAGTTTAAAATTTTATGCTAATGCTATATGTAGAATTAATGAAAGATGTATTTATCTACAAAAATATATATTTGGAAGTAGAACTAAATTTAGGGTTAAGTTAACATAGCTTTCCTGGATTGCAAGTTTATTCTCTTACACTGAATTGTGCTCTATTCTTCTTCACATGCTTTATGATACTGATGAACACTGAACTAAGAAGTCCCCCCCCTCACCTTTGTAATTTTCCTAGTGCCCCTGATTAAATATCAAGGCCTCAGTGACATCAGGCAGCACCAAATATTATTCTCTCCCATGGGATGCATAATCTGACCACCTCCCCTTTGCAAATAGATCTAACATTGCCGATTAGCTGTTCTGGGTAGCATGACAATTATCTGCTATGAGGATGCAAGGGGAGAGGAATTGTTTTTGACCCAGGGGTGAAATCTATAACACTCAACTTGCCAGATATTTCTTTATTTTTATCTTATAATACTGAAGTAGACCCATTACATTTGACTCTCCAAAGGATTCATAGTTGATATGGGTATCAGTTGAATTAGTCACAGCACCTGTAAACATCCCCCCCCCCATTTTTTATTCTCACCAAACATCAGATTGGCTAGGAGAAATCAGGTATTTTCTGTGAGGACAGAAAAATTGATCTCAGTACTCATCCCTGCTCCTTTAAGCTGGAGGGCTGGGGACAGTCCCTGAGGGGTGGGGATATATGATAAGACACAGGTTTCCAAATCCAGCCTTCCCACATGTCAGTTGTGGCATCAAGGAGTAGCACAGGATTACCTGCATCTCATACACAGACAGGTGCGGGTTCAGGATGGGCAACTGATGGACTTAGTATGGTTTGCGAATCTTGAATGGACAGGGCAAAACCTCTGTGCCAAATGACATTTTCATTACAGTACAGTGGTACCTCGGGTTACAAACACTTCGGGTTACAGACTCCGCTAATCTGGAAGTAGTACCTCAGGTTAAGAACTTTACCTCAGAATGAGAACAGAAATCGCATGCTGGCAGCAGCAGGAAGCCCCATTAGCTAAAGTGGTACCTCAGGTTAAGAACGGTTTCAGGTTAAGAACAGACCTCCAGAACAAATTAAGTTCATAACCAGAGGTACCACTGTACATGCGTCAAAGCAAGATGTTGCTGCTGTTGTTTTTTAAACTAAAAGCTGCATCGTGAAGAGAATGAGCTACTTTGAAGCAGAACATATTAACATTTTGGCAAGTGTGTGTATCAAAAGCTGGAAAATGCAATTAAGTGTCTATAAAAATAGCACGCACGTTACATTTCAAATGTCACCCAAAAGCTACTTAAAGGCATCCTTCGCAATGGAATATGCATTGCTCACAAATACTTTAATGCTGTGAACCCTTTAATCCTTGCATCCCGTTTCCTGAATACAAAGAAAATTGCCTGCAATATGAGACCACAGTTTATGCCAGTTTATCTTCCATGGTCCAAGGAGAAATAGGTAGGAGAGACTTGATAAGACCTGATGCACCAAGGGTGAATACAGAATCCATTTATGGACATTTGACCCTTATGGGACAAATGTGCATTTAGAGGGTGTGGCATTACATCAGCAGGCCCCACCCCTGACTACCACACATCCATTTGAACTAGAGCTGTGCCCAAAAATTTAGAAATTTATTTTTTATCATTTGTTGGGTGGCAATGGAATCAATTTTAAACCAAAAAAGACCCCATCCCTGTGCCACTCACAGAAGTGCAGTTTCTCTCTGCAGTTTCCCAGAATGCCTTGGGAACAAGGCCATGTCACAACCTGTTGCTCCCAGGGTATTTCTCCACAATATCTTGCCGGGAAGGGAAGGGGCAGCTATCTCTTAAAAGCTTTGGAGGAAATCCTCTTTTTCCCCCCACTTCCCCCCTGGACAGTGTTAGAAAATCAGCCCCTGTTTTAATGGCAGGGATATTTTCCGGAATCTGGGAGAAATGTCAGCTCAGTCTTAATCTGAACATCCGTCGAGAGTATACGCATGTAGGCGCGCAGCCTCTTTGCTGATGTTCACATAAACACAAAGTACATTGTGCATTTGCTCCAGATTAAATGTCTACAGGAGATTAATTTTAGGTTCTGAAGAGTTATGCAAATGGTTTTGACACCCATTCAGTGGGATCTGAAGCATTTGTTTTCAAAGGAGCAAAGTCTATTGAAATGGCTTCCTTCACATGTAGAATAGATGGGTTGTAGCCAACAAGTTTCCTTCTCCAGAGGAAGCAAACCACTGGATCCATTTGGATGTACCCAAAAGCAAGTTTCTTTCCCCTCCCCCCTCTTGATTTCACAGAACTGGGATTGCTCCTAGAAGCAGGCATTTCAAAACCATTTCTAATTGCATGCAAGACGTTTGTCTCATTTTCTGCTGAGTGAGTCCTCTTTCTAGCTGTCAGAAAATCCAACAGCATTGAGCCAGGCATTAATTCAATACCTAACCACATAATTGGTCTGTTCTGCCTGCAAGCCAGCGCTTTGGCAAAGGTTTTCATCTTTTCCATTTGGGATTCGATTAAGAAAAGTGACAAACCAAAAGAAAGACGTATTATGTGAGACATCATGTAGGTGGATGTTAAAAAATAACAGGCTATATACAGCCTTTGAAGTGAATGGGCATCTTGAATAGGAAACTCAGGCTAATTTATGAAAAGCATCAAAACTCCAGGGAGATTGACTTGCGGCTGGCTGTGGCCATCCACTCGGGGCTGATATGTTTCTTAACTGAGGTCCATGGAAGCCAAATAGTCCAGCTCCAACCCATTTGAGGCCTTTCCTTGCTGGCATTTACTTTCTCCATCCCAAGCAATAGCAAATCCTGAAAATCTCTACAGAGAGGCAGCTAGCTAGTTGGATAAAGTATTCCATCTTTGGAAACTGCATGGGCTCCAAAGTCTCCCATGGTAAATCAATGCCCCTCTTTGCAATTTAGAGGCTGCCTTTAGCATGAATTGCTCTCCTGGTCCTCTTCTAGGTTTCAGCTCCTTTCCCAGGGTCTCTGTTTTATTTCTTTGCTATTTATTTTAAAGCCATCTACCTATTTAAATTGCCTAAGAAAGTTGGAGGCACCAACAGACCCTCCAAATGTCCCTATTTTCCAGGGACAGTCCCGGTTTCTGATTTGACCCCAGAATGTTCCACTTTTCCTTAGGACGTCCTTATTTTCACTGGAGAAATACTAGAGAGTATGGTAGGACATCCCTATTTTTCTTGGAGAAACGTTGGCGGGTATGGAGTTATGTGAACCCTGAGCCAAGGAGATAAGTACTACACAACCTTCAGAAGACATCTGAAGGCAGCCATGTGTAGGGAAGTTTTTAAATGTTTTATTATGTTTTTATATATGTTAGAAGTTGCCCAGAGTGGCCGGGGGCAACCCAGACAGATGGCTGGGGTATAAATTATTATTATTATTATTATATTATTATTTTATTATTAGCATTAGCATTATTTGCATTTTCTTGGGAGTTTTGTTCTTAGTTGGTTGGGTTTCTTATAGAGACTGTTGTGCATATTATTATTATTATTATTATTATTTAATTGAATAGGACGTCCCTATTTTATCATCAGATAAATATAAATGTTGGAGGGTATACAGTAACAAAACAATGCAAATGAAGCAACAGTCCAACCAACTAAGAAAAAAACCCCCAAGAAAGTGGGAATATATGCACAACATCTAATGGCAATGAATGCACCTGAACACTAAGGGAGCACACAGTGTACAGCCTGCCATTTCATCTACTGCAGCAACAGAAGTATCTTTTTAAATTGACTGGAGGCAGGTGGTTTTGCACAGGAACTGAAGGTGGGGTTTGGACAGTGATCCTTGGCATGAGAACCAGGGCATTAGAAACATGCCCGTGTTTGCAGTATCAAAAGGTTGGAGAGTATATAACAAAGAGCAAGCCTGCAGGATACCGTTGTCCCAGAACAGCCAGTAATATATACCTTTTACAAATGCACAGAATCCCCAAAGAGAAAGCTGTTACAAAGCCTTCTTAACTTCATTGCAGCTTATATTATATAATGTGAAGGAAGGTTTGCCTAATCCCTAAATGCAGCCAGTGATTGCAGTCCTAATCCATTTGCACCAATGAAACCTAAAGAATCAAATTTAGACATCTAACTTGCCTAGTAAAAATCTATTTCAGACACATAAGGCTCTGGCAAACAATTCATTGTTACATGAAAAGATATCTTTTTGTTCCTTGTTGACCCCACTCTCCAAATAATATAATAAGCCATGACTATGTTTTATTGCCTTGCATTTATCTGTGCAGGGCTAGTATAGAAGCAATATTTATTCCTGGACCAGTAATTCTAAGGTGGATATATTTTATATTGTACCCTTCTGTTGTCCTTGTAATTTATAATAGATTTTACATACATGTGAGTTTATCAAAATATTTGTTTTGCTATAACTGGTATAAGATGGGGTGGGCTTTTTCTTTTTGATAGATGGAAGAAACTCTTAGTGGGGGGAATTAGTTGTACAGCTTTATTCCAGTTTGTGGTTTATTTCCAAGTGTGATGCTAATAGACATGAGATATTTGAAAATGTAGACACACACACACACTGACATGTTTAAAACTTTCAAGGAATTTCAGCATCATGAAAACATAATATGGACACGTATGCTATTCACAAAGCATGGATTTTATATAAGTGCATAAGCTAAGCTATATAGTTATCATTCAGATGTATTTATTGTTGCAGTTTCATTATATCTAATATTTTATTCAGCCACAGTTAACATGTAATTTGTGCCTACAAGTTTCTATGTTTCCCGTGATATTCTGTATATAAGGTATACAAAATAAACGTTTTAAGTTACAAATATTAGCCTTTGTCTTTTGAATTGTTTGAACATTTGGAGTAGTTGGGGACATGGGCATTGAAATAATCAGCAGCTCCTACCAGTATTGCCCCTTTGTTGAGAGCATCAAGAGAGGCCAATCCCCAGGTATCCTCATATATGAAGTGGCAGAGTTGATGGCTGGGGAAAGGGCTTCCTGGACAGGTCCACTGACCTTCACTGGGCAGGCTTGGCCACGGCCCATGTCCTTGATCCTTGCAGTATT